AATACTGACGTCATCGTTAGTACCATTTTTATCAATGATTTAGTATCTAGTTTCACGATGAAACAATTTGAAGGGTACTCCGTGTGCCATTTTGAGAAGTCGTCGTAATTAGTTGCCACGCACAAAAAACCTGTGAGCTATATCGTAGGAAGGTTGGATGGAAGCATCAGTTGTCTACGGGTGAGTGAAAACAAATTTGACTGAAGGCACGGCGTTTGTAACCCTGATCGCGTAAGAGTTTAGATCCATATTCAGCGAAGAAGTTGAAGTGTTTTGGGAGTCGGATTATCGTTCCATAAACGAATTGTACTGCAGTGTATATAACGTCAACTTTCACTGAACTACGAAGACTATGTAAAACGTGTGCAAGAGCGTCATTCCGCATTGTAACATCCTCAGTTGAAAGTGAAGCTTTCAAGTATCGGTGAAGGGTACTGCTTCTGACCACTGTGTGCAACAGTTTACACATGCTAAGAAATAGTAGTGTCCATTTGAATCTGGTAAGGGTTCCTCTAAATCCAAATAAACATGTTTGAAACGAGCATAGGGAGTTGTGAAAGGAGATAAGTGAAATTTGTTTTGTCTGACCACCTCAGACATCTGGCAGTTTACACAGGGTCAGGCTCGCTACCCTCCATTTTTATTCATACCGAGCCATTAAAATCGCTCTGTGGTGTGCTTGATGGTTGCGTGGGCACCTGGTTGAGAAAATGTGTACGGCGTATTGAAAACGTTGCGTCGACAATGTTTCGGCACGATTTAACGATCCCTACCTGTAGATATGTCGCATAATAAGGTTTCTTTACCTGTTCCCGTCTGTTTATTACGCAGTTTTAGGGTTATCAAAGATAACCCGTATTGCAGCTCAGTGTCTATGAAGAGCTGGAAGAGTTTGCAGTTGTCGATTTCCTGGAAACTGCCCAAAGAATTTATACGAGACAAGGCATGTGCCAGTAAATTGCGTGCCTCAAAAATGTGCTGTATGTCCGAAGTAAACTGTGAAGTGTAGTCCGATTATCGAGATTCTTTAGGGGAGTACTTGACAGAAGAGCATAAAGAGAAGGTGACGGATTTGTGGTCGGTAAGCAGAATGAATTCTTGGCCTTCCATAGTGTTGAATATGCCAACACTTGGAAAGGAATTCTCTGCTTAATGTGATATTGAAGACATATGCCAAAATTTGCCAGCCGTTATTTACCCACCGTTGCTGGACTCCAACTGCCGAGTCGAATGTGTTTAATGCGATACTAATAGGTGCTTTGGTGCCCTGGTGAGCCAGCAGAATGCCTGCCACCTTGCCTTAGAGAGGGCGGATGCCTTGAGCATCAATATTGTAGACGACAATATTTAGGGAGTCGGTTCTGATTCGACATTGCTCAATGCCCGAAGTTTTGCTGTGTTCCTGCAGTCGTTCGAAAGCAAGGTCCAGATATTGGACATTGGTGTCTTTGCTCAGACCTGTAATCAACGCGTACACGAAGTTGAGACCTCGCAAGACGTCTTTGATGAATCTGTGGAACGCTTGTGTGGTATTTCTAAAGCCAAAAGATATGCGCAAAAATCCGTAGAAACCGGAAAGAGTGACGATAGCGGTTTTAGGAATTTCGCCATCACCTATGGGAATTTGTTCGTACGCTTTAACCACGTCGATTCTCGAAACAAACAGTTGTACTTTTCAACGTAGCTGTTAAGTTGTGAATGTGAGGCAACGGTTAACGATAGGGAGTAATTTTGGTATTCACTCACTGCTTTCAGAAATGAAGGTAGTCCTGTTGTAGTGGACGAAAATATAAAAATGTGGATAATAGTAAAAAACTGATCGCGAAATAAGTCTATTTTAACTATCTACACACTGTAGTCGTGAGGTGATATACAACATTGCTTGTAAGTTGTGATCGATCAACGAACTCACCAATGATAAAGTGAAACGCTCACCACCACATTAACTTTTTTTGACCGTGTGTGACTATGTCTTGTTTATTCACCAATCACAATTTTATGTTGATTATAAAACACTATTTGCCTTGTTGACTCGTTTTTTCCTTTACTCTAGCTACTGTTCGAAACGGATAAAGCTTATCAAACCAAATAGCTTGCTTGTTCTGACTTTGGCTAAACCACGACTCTGTGTTCGACGGTCTGGAGAATAGCTTAGGGTTACACTTGTAGGAAATTGCTTCCTACAACGTTTCGAACAGTACCTCATCAAAAATTTATACACTGAGTACCTTTAAATGTCTACGGAGTATCATAAAACTGATCATATTCCTGAATTGTCTCCCTACTATTCTATGTAAGCTCTTGCTTTTCGCACCGAACATTTCACTTTCTTCTTAGCCCATACACGACAACTTAAACGCGAAAGAAAAGGCGTATAATACGGAAAGAACGTCTTACTCCTAGATTAGTTCATGTACAGAAAATCGATGGTATTTATAGCACTCCAGATGGCGCTAGGCCTCTGGAGTCTTCTGGAACCCTACCAAACATAGTAGCACGATAGGCTATCATGCAGTCGGAAACATGACATGCCAATCTTCACTTTCTAAATGTTTCTGATAAACTTCCACTCAACGCTGATTAGATAAAGTGTTTTCCAAAGTTTTTGGGGCCTCTCAGGGCTTTTTTAGAAGAATACTCTCTGTCTCGCCAACATAGTGCCGGTTAGTGACCTAGGAAAGGTACATCTAGTTCTCGGCACCGGTATAAAAATATCGAGGTCCTTGGCTCCACAAAAGTCGCTGCGATATATCAGTATCTTAACTGTGATCACGAAACTGTGAGTGGAAGACATCTATACACAAGTATATGTCCTGTTTAGGTTCGCACTATAGTCACAACACATTTTGATACAGTTGAGGTGTGAATTTCTCTTCAGTTTTCAAAGTAGGAGAGATGGAAGATCCAATCTGCTACAGAACTGTCACATCACTCGCAACACTGTCAAGGTCAGTGGAATGAGAGGAAAATCGTCTAACTAGAGAAAACATTACCGAAACCAACCCTCTTCATGAAGGCCAGAACGGGTTTAGAATGGAGTCATTTAAGTTCCATCTTCCCATATGATGAGGCAGCCGGAAAAGCTTCTGAGAACAAAAGATGCTGTTGCGCTTAGTATTCCCGTAATTCATAGGCTAGTTGCACTGATCTTTTGGGACAACGCGATAATCGGGAAGTCCGTATGAAGTGAAACGAGTTCACTGAAGCTTCGAAATTATAGCACGGCACTAAATATGTGGGCAACGGACAATTTAACTCGTCGAAACATCATGCTATAAAGATTTGGAGCCACGACTAATAAACAACTCCATGATAATTCACTTCCCCGCAAACTGAGATATAGGACAATTAATCCTAGAGAACGCAGATTCCAGCTGAAACAACATTGAAGATGCAATCAAGGCAACTGCAAATCATCACTTCATCCAGAACAAATCGTTGAATTCAAATCAGTTTTGCTTATAACACTCTTCATAACGTTACCATAGATGCATCTCGAAGTCTACAATGTTGTTGCGTCTCATCCATTTTAAGGAAATAGAATCCTGTTTGACCAAGTTCAAAGACAAGAGGCTAAATGGACGATGAAGCTGTGAAACAAATTTTATGAAGATAGACTCCGACACTGATGACTATTTCTTTTGGGCTACAGAGAAGAAAGACTGGCCTTAAAATGGGACACGACATACTCAGTACTCTGAGTCACCTCAACACGAGAATCCCACAGGGACATCGTCTTCATTCACAATGAGAAAACTCTTGAAAACCTCTACGTCAAAAGATGTAAACCCGTAAGCCCTCTCAATTTTTCATACGCCTGGACTAGCTGTACCTGACGCATATTACGTAAATTACCTATTATTATCATTGCGGCATATCATTAACTTGTTCTTATCTCGCCTATCACTATTCCCGTTTCCCTTCTCAGTTTTACACTTCAATCTTCTCACACTGCCTGCATTATTATGTTCGCCATTCGTATATTTGATTACTGAGAACAAGTGGATTTAGTGATAGTTAAAATACCGATATCTTCGAATATGTGTTTCAGTAATTTATTTCACCAGTAATATACATTTAAAGTGCAAGTGGTTTGAATTGACACACGTAGACTGGAATAGTTGTTCAACTGGATTTACACAAGAATCGGGCATTCTTGTGATTGGATTGTATTAAGATTGATGCTAACACACAGGCGCGTGCACTTAAATAAAAATAACACTTGTAGTAAAATAATCGGCAGCTGCATAGTAATGAGATAAATCAAGGATTTCGCATGAATGGTCTAATCTACATTGTTTTGATTGACAAAAACACAAACTGTCCTGAATATTGGCTAACCAGAGTGTTCTTAATGTTTATAGATCAATATAGTAATTGAACCTGACTTGCACACAGATTGGTGGACGAGTAACCAGACAAAGGATTTTCTGAAAGATTCACACACAAGGCATTTGAATTGACCACACATTTGAGTACATTTTGACCAAGAGAACTGAATTGATGCGCTTGAGAGTTATATGGTCAGTCAAGTACTGTATTCCAGGATGCGTATAAAATCACGTCTATATGACATGTCTATATTATTTATTTTCTTTCTCAGTTATTGTAGCAATCGTCTTCTTTTAGCAGACCAATATTGTTTTAATTATCTTACATATTGGAAAACAACCAACCAACCTATTATCCGGTTGTGTAATAGGTACTTGTTTCGGGAATCATAAAGCCCTCATAAGGACATATTCACTGAGATTAGAAAATATACCAACCCACATATAACTGCTAAACTGAGTAGAATCAGCACGGTCGGGTTGACAAATCATCGCCTATTTGAGATTATCACTGACCTCCAATCATCCTGAAACAGCATGAAGTGAAAGAATGGTAGTAATCCGTTTATGTGATCCTGTTCCAGAAGAATTAGACATTGTAGGTGTTTTGAAATATTGCATTTTTTCAAGGAGTTCTGAGACTTTCAGACGCCAGTTTATTGCATTCGTATGAGAACACTAGAAAGACGTGCTGATGAAAACGCAAGTGACGAAACTTGTTATCTTCGAATACATAAATACAGTAGGTAATCGTCCATTACTATCTTATGATTTCTGGATTGTCGGCCGTGAATTCAGCTTTTCAAGGTTGTTGAAGAGGAAGAGGGGGATTTGAGCCTTGTCAGCAACACGGTAAGGAAGGCAGGCCTTTGATTCGAAATTATTGACTGATTGGTTTGATCAACACATTTATTAAGCCATTGGCAGCTAGTTGGAAGCTAATTATGTTGGTAATCTATAAATATCTCATTGGAGTGTTTACTCCATTGGAAATTACAGACAACTGATCGAGTTTCTCCAGTCGTTGACGTAATACATATTTATTTCTTTCATGTAAACCACTTTTTATTTGCCGCAAAATTGTGTAAAATCCTGACGAAACGTGTTTGAAAATACTGGGAGTTAGTCGCATGATTATTACATTATTTGCTTTGCAAAGTAGATCTGCATCTTCACATAAGCAGCAATGTCTCAAATATAGTGATGTGTGGGATAGTATTAGATGGGCAATGGGAATTCTTCTACTAAGTTTTCGGTTAGTCAGTTAGCTACTTCGTTGCAAAGTGCCTTCCTCGATCTACTTTTTTGGCAAGACTATGATTTATATGGACAAACCAGTGAGATTAAGGATGGCAAATCGAATTTTAACGCGAATTTCATTGATACATATGGTGGGTTGAACCATCTGCTTCTAGTCCGATTCCAAGATTTTTTTAGCTTAAGGACTGTTATTTCTGATTGTTGTTGATTGGTTTCGTTATTAAGTTTAAGTGCATTTTCTGTTCTTCCTGTCTCGTCGACTAACCTTTTGCTTTCTTTTCCATAGCCTTTACGCACTCATAATGCTCCCTTAGTACGCAGAATACTTGGCCGGACTCTAACCCCTACAATATAGCTGTCAGTTCGTGATGAAAACTTTTGATTCTTAACCATAAATTTTAACTCGATACCAAGTCCTCATATTAGATTACAATCCTCTTTTGACCTTGATAAATAGGTGAGTCGTCAGAAGGCTACTTTAGCGTTGTTTAAAAGTCGCCCTTAAATTACGGTGTCACGGTTTTTTTGCATTTAGTATATGCTTCTTTTGGATGAATATAGAATGACTATTTATTTATTTGAACACATGAATATTGGTTCAAGAGAGCGCCAATATATATGCGCCACACAAAACAATCAGGATTCGAAGAGAAAAAAGAAAGAAACAGGTAAGGAGCGTAAAAAAACAGAACAATTCCGAAGAGATTGGTGTAAGGTAGTGTGGTAGTAATGAGGGAACGGAAAGGTACAATCGGAGGAAATCTTTCAGGTAAGGGAGACACAACCACCTTTTATGAAGAAAGTAAAAGAAGGTTACAGAAGGATCGCCATTGGCTTCTATTCTGAGCCATATCTGACAACGTCTCTAGCCACTGTGTAGCACCATCTATCGGACCTCAACCAGGGAGTCGTGAAGGAAGCCAGTCCCTTGCAGCTTTCTTTCATGCCACGACACCATGTCATGCATTGACCACCTTTCCGCTTCTTCCAACCAGTCTCAGAGTAGGTAAATAATGCACGACGTGGAATTCTCTGGGACGACGTTCGGAGAACATGTCCAAGCCACCGAAGTCGATGTCTCAAGATGATGACACCAATTGAATTATCATCTCTGTACCCGAACACACGACGCCGAACCTCTGCATTACTAACATGGTGTTGCCACTGGATATCAGCAATCCTTCGGAGACAGCGATGATCGAACACTGGGAGTCGTCTAACGTCCTCAACTCGGAGACCAGGTTAAACAAGCATAGAGCAAAACTGCTCTCACCGACGCGTTGTAGAACCGACCTTTTACAGCCAGACTGACATCACGAAGGCTCCAAAGATGGCCCAGATTGACACAAGCCGCTCTGGCTTTCACTATTCGTGCATTGATCTCATCACTCACACCACCACCAGCACTTATGCAGCTACCCAGATACACGAACTTCTCGACTACTTCTATCTGCTCACCATCCAGGGTGAGTACAGGATTAGAATCCTGCCAGTCTTGTAGAAGTACTTTGCACTTCGAAGGTGCAAAGCACATACCATACCTACGGACACTGATTGCCAACTGATTAAGTGCGGATTACATGCCTTGGGCATTATCGCACAATAAGACAACGATATCCGCATACTCAAGGTCGAGAAGTCTTTCTCCAGGCAACAGATCCACACCACCATTACGTACATCCATCAGAGCTGTTTCCTGAATGTCATCGATGGTAAAGTTGAAGAAGAATGGTGAGATTGGGCAACCCCATTAACCCCACTACTCGGATGGAACAATGGAGAGAGGTGGTTGTATGCCCTCACTCTGCCTGAGGTGTTTGTATATAGGGCTTTTAGGATGTTAATAAACTTCTCAGACACACCCTTCTTCAATAGACAATCCCAGAGAACAGTCCTGTCCAACGAATCGAAGGCAGCCCTGATGTCAAGAAACACTACGATTGTTGGCCTTTGAAAAGTATGGCGGTGTTCTAACATTTGGCGGAGGGTGAAGACATGATCAATACATCCTCGACCAGAACGAAACCCAGCCTGCTCCTCGCGAGTCAATCGTTCTCGGGTTTTGAACAACCTACGAAGTATGACGGGAGCCAATAGCTTGGACGTAATCGGAAGTAGACTTATCCCCCGATAGTTGTTACAGGATCGACATGAACCCTTTTTAAAGATAGGGACAACTATCGACTCATTCCATGACGTTGGTACACTCTCTAACACCCAAACCTTTGTAAACAACGTCGTCAATTCCTTAGTCAGAAAGTCACCATCATCTTTAAAAAGAGCCGGAGGTAAGTCATCTGGGCCAGGTGATTTGTAACGCTTCAAGAGTTGGAGTTCCTTGCGGAATGGTGGCTAGCCTAGAAACTAGCTCGGTTCGATACTTACTAGCAACAGAAGTTGCAACCAGCTTGCTAACATCAATCCGTTGGTGGCGGTCACTTCGTTGTCCACTGAAAAGTAAGGTAAGATTGGCGCAGACCAAGGCATGGTCAGAGTCCAGATAGGTACTCCAAAAGAAGTGGCAGTCTTGTACACAACCACACCAGCGGTAGCTGATCGCGATGTGATCAATCTGAGTTCAGGCTTGGGATGCAGAGGGAGGACGCCAGGTGGCACATCGGCGATGACTGTGTCGAAAGTTAGTGCTAGCCAGAAACAGGTTTTGGTCTGTGCAGAGTTGCAGTAGACGGTCCCCGTTATCTGACCTGCGACCAACGAGTCCCCATCGGCCACCTAAACGACTCTCTTCTGTGCCTAGACGCACGACCTGAGCATTCAAGTCTCCGGCTAGTACTACAATATCTGTCGAACGCGCTTTGTAGAGAAGAACAGATAACTGGTGGTAAAACTCATCCTTGACTGCATCCGGGCTGCAATCTGTCGGGGCATAGGCGGAGATGACGATAAGGCATCGTTTCTCACTCCAATTTCTCACTTTGATAGAACTCTAATCTATTTAGGAAGTGCACCTCATACGTAATAAAGATCATAATAAATATATTTTCTTGTGATAACCCAAAGAGTAGAAAGTAACCGAGATAAATTTAACACAACTTGTGTTAACTTAGTTTCATTCATTTATCTACTCTGAAGAAGTGGCTTACGCTAAGTCACGAAACATCAAGAATACAATTTTCTATTCATAGGGATATCACAAAAAGAATATTTATTAATAACTTTCTACCCATTGCTCAACTTATTTTAAAGTGGTAAAGGTCATATTTTACAAAGATGCATTAATGAACGGCTCGGGTCAACAAAAACGTCAGCCTGTTATACCTTTTAAGACGACATAATATGCATGCCCAACTTGGTACTGGTTCTCATATTTCTACTGCCTTATTAAATATTTATTTGGCATATTGCCTATCTCGTAACAGTGGATACATATATGTTCATGTGTAGCTTTTTAAATCTAAGAAATATGGAGTTTGTCGAATGGTGAGTGTCATTCAAATCGGAACCACAATATAATGCATAGACGCTTTTTGAAATTTTCTTTTCCAATCATACTTGTTTACGAATTCTTAATTATTCGTACCGTATGCCTAATTTTCTGTATATGTTATAATATCGTTCTGTAGTTCCAGCTACTATCTCTAGTTGGCATGGCCGATTATTGGAAAAGTAACCCAAAGAAGTATTGCGAATTATGCAAGTGTTGGATGGCTGACAACAAAATTGTAAGATATTAATTCCTTTTTCATTATTATCCCACGTATACTTTGAACAGAGCATCCAAAATCATGAGAATGGTATGCGACATAAAGCTAGTGTAGCTAAAAAAGTTAATGAATTGACCCGTAGCAATAAGTGTGCTGAAATGGAAAGGAAGAATTTAGAGGCGTGCTTACAACAAATAAACGATGTAATTGTCTTAAATTCCAAGTTATCCTTTTAAATATCCAGAGTGCCCACTTAAGTATGATGAAAGATCTAGAAAGAGACCCATCATTGGCAAAACAGTATGGAATCGTGCTAGCAAGTAACTGCTTGTTTTACGTTATATTTAAAATTCGAAGAGTCACCATGTGAAGGAAAATTGAACGAAGAGTCTTCTAGTAAAACAGGGAAATCAGTTGCTGATAAATCTCGTCCTGATCCATCCAGTCGTGCAAATATTTGGAAGGAATCAATCACCCCAGATGGCAAACATTATTATTGGAATGTGGCTACTCGTGTTACTCAGTGGACACGGCCAGATGGCATTATAGAGCCGGACCAACGACCAGTGAAAGAAGAAAAAACCAGACTAAAAGAATTCGTCTTAAATCGTCTTGTGGAGTTAAGCGAACATGGATCCAAAGGAGCCAATGAGGCAGTACTACAAGTGTTTAATGTACCTACATCAGATATCGAGCCTATCATAGAAAAAATATCAGATGGCACATCCGATAAGAAGCCGAAAAGTGTGAACCTTCCAACACCTGTTCAATTCCAAGGTCCACAAATTGACTTACTTGGTCCGTGGGTTCCTTGTGATGATACGTAAGTAGTCTACAAACGTTTTTTCAGTTATTGAACCAGAAAAAAGTTCACATTTTTATTTCTGTTGAAATATAACTTGGATTTTACGGGATATACTAGAACCTGTTTACCTACTAAAATAGCTGCAATTATTTGAACGATAGGGATTCTACTGAGTTATCTAGAACGAAGTTGTCTCAGTAGGATTCAAACTTCTCGACTAGTAGTCTAAGATTGAAGGCATTAACCAATAAACATTATTTTGTCTTACATTATTGGATATGGTTGAGGAAAATAGGGGGAATGTAGATGACAAAAGCATTCAATCTTAGATATTTTATAAGTAATCAAGTAAGAAATGCTTGAGTAATTTGTTGACTTTCAATTAATAATGGCAAGTGATTTGATGAGAATGTAAATACTCACATAGTGTACATAGTGTAAGTATCGAACTGCCACCTATAAAACATATTTTTAATTGAAGTAGTTGATTAAAATATGTCAAACTTGACCGGAGTCTAGAATAACACACTTTGAAATAGATTATTGCTGGTTACAATGGTGTGGAAAAGTAAATACTAGTTTAATGAGCTATTATGTAAAATGAGCCTAAAATCGATGAAATGGCTCAATGGTATAAGCATTTAGTTTCTTTTCGTAAGTTTTATATATTTACCTATTTCTCTATTGAAATAAAGCGAGAACGACTAGATGTACTGGGTAAAATGAATCAATTATATTTCGAGGCTTTTAATCTGCTGTAAACGGCTTTCAGTTGCAGTTAATAATATTATGTTTATAATAACGTCAATAATACTACAAGCCTTTACCGTCTTAAGTGTCTCAGTACAATTATGTTTATTATTTTACTTAATGTCTCCATATCTCGTTTCCTTTCGTTTGATGAAGTCCTAGGCCCAAATTACCCAAGCTTGATCTTCCTGATGCCTCCAATGATGTTGGAAGCTTCGGATCTCCAGATTTAGATGGAAAACTGGCTGTACTTGCACAGTTGGAAGCGACAACGGAAAACTATTACGAAAATCCAACTCTCTTCAGTCCTAAAGACCAGGTAACTACTCATAGTAGTTACGTAGCTGAAACCACTAAGCAAACCAATAGTGAGGATACTAAAGTACGACAGCCTAATTCTAACACAACAGCTCGTATTGTGTTCAAACGACGTCCTACGTCTAACCGAAGTATACGTACTCCGCAAGATGACGAGTAAACGTTCCTACTGCAGTTGTGTACATATAATATTTTTATGGATAATATAGTCATTTTTCAGCGAAAAAGATTAATTGTATGTTCTTTTATTGCAACAAAAGTGGGTATCAGTATTTTACTCTAAGTTTAATTAAGACAAAAAGTAGAACCAAAATACCAAAGAAAGGTCTCAGCGATATCGATTCGATCAATCACATTACTAACGAAAAACGTCTTAACGTCTGTTGTAGCTGGATTTTCTCCATTCATTCTTGTATTTATCCATTTAGAAAGTCTTCTGGATCACCTGAATGGGGATTTCAGCTTCTTGCATATTTTTATGTTAAATCGTTTTAACGGTGGGGGGGGGAGATCCAGCAATGATAGTTTATGCAATAAGTAATTTTCTTTCATAAGTTAATTTCCTAACACATGATAACTATCTGTAGTTCAGTACGTTGATATTTAAACTTTAATGCCTGAATGTACATAGTTGATGTACTCCACACTGCTACATGCGTGAGTAAACTCACTACAGCGTATTAGGGAGATTGGTAAATTTGTATCAATTGCAGACAGTCGTTTTATAGTAGCAGGCTATATAAGTGTCAGTTTAAACTCATGTGAATAATTAATCCTGGATTTATCACTGCTTATAGCTATAATTAGCTGATTTCGAAAGTTAAATATGAACAAGTGGGTTTTGTACTCAAACTGTGTCATATTTTCCATTAGAACAGCCTTATTATTATATCCAGCTCTAACAGAATAGATGTATCTGGAAGTTTTGTATCAAAACGTGGAATTAATTACCATGTTTGAGGTGAGTGATTTATGGTATGTAGTGTTTGTACTTGACCTTCTATAAACAATGGTCGAACAAACAAAAATTAATTATAAATAAACAATATAATTTAATGTTTTCGCCCCTAAATGCCCTGGTACGGCCGAGAGTGGGAAGAGTCCTCTTTCCCTCTCGAAATGCTCTCACATGGGCACGCGTATATAGCCTCTGCCAGGGAAGTCCTACTCACTGCATTCTTGTGGCGGAGGTGTTGTTTACGAAATTAAGAGAACGAAAAGGTCAGATTTACAACGCATCGGTGAGCGCAGTTTTTCTCTGTTTGTGAAACCTGGCCTCTCCGAGTTGAGGATGTTAGATGACTCTCTGTGCTTGATCATCGTTGTCTCCGAAGGATTGCTAACATCCAGTGGAAAAACCATGTTAGTAATGCAGAGGTTCGGCATCGTTTGTTCGGGCGCAGAGACGATAATTCAATTGGTGTCACTATCTTGAAACATCGACTTCGGTGGCTTGGACATGTTCTACGAATGTCGTCCCAGAGAATTCCTCGTCGTGCGGAGAGGTGGTCAGTGTATAACATGGTGTCGTGATATGAAAGAAAGCTGCACAGGACTGGCTTCCGTTGCTCCTTCACGACTCCCTGGTTAGAGTCCCAGAAATAGTGCAACATAGTGGCTTGAGACGTTATCAGATATAGCTCAGAATAGAAGCCAGTGGCGATCCTGCTGTAATCTTTTTTCACTTTCTTCATAAAAAGTGACCGTAACTTCTTTAACTGAAAGGATTCTTTCTGGTTGTACCTTTCTGTTTTCCCCATTATTATTATTACTATTTCACTACCATACACTAATTTTTCTTTTTACATGCATCCTACATTCTTTTTCTCTTCCCATTCTCATTGTTATTGTGTGACGCATATATATCTGGTGCCACTTTGTATCAATATTTATGTGTTCAAATAAATAATGTTTTCGGGGAGGTAATGAGAAGGGTTTTAAAACTTCAACTTTTGTTTATTCAATATATAATATCAGAATGGGTTTTGTGGAGATTTTTAGAAATTTCACAGGTTGAAATCATGAGTCAGTTGAAGCTAGACCACCATGGAAAACCTGGAAGCACTGGACGGCCGTTTCGTCCTAGTATGGGACTCCTCAGTAGTGTGCATCCACGATTCCGCCGTCCAGTGCTTCCAGGTTTTCCATAGTGGTCTAGCTTCAATTGGCTTATGATTTCAATATATAATAGACAGAAATGCAATATTTTATGTGAAATTTTGTTTATTATCAAGTAATTAAAGAATATGAGAAAAGGAATTTCACATTGGATCTCAATTGTTATTCTTGTTTCAATGAATTATAGATAGGTAAGTCTAATTGGGTTGTATCCAACTAGTTTATATTTATCATTAAGTATATTAATGAAATTGATATATAAAACCTCAGTTTAGTTATATACTTTCAAGATCATGTTGCATGGAAATGAAATCTGGAAAGCTGAAAAATTGTGAATGTAGAGAGAATCAAAAACGACGAACAAGTGATTATCAGATTGTTGAGTTTTAGTTGAGATCATGGACTGAACATTGTTGGACCATTATTGAACACTATGGAAGCACTCGATAGACGTTTTGTGTGGGATCGTGAATGTGCACTGCTGAAGAGTCTCATACTAAGACGAAACGGCCGTCCAATGCTTCCAGGATTTAATGATGGTCTAAGATTGATCAGTTCATGATTTCATTTAGAACGAGAGATTACAAAAAATCCCAGTAAGTAACATCTAATAGTTGGTGATTAATAGATTATAACTTGCAATGTGGCCACTAGTCTAGGTGACTCGACATTGCGTGCACTATGTTGAGATAAGGTGTTGGTTGGAGGTAGTCAACAGGAAACCCTGGACCTAGGTTTCATGCTATTTGGCACTCATCAGTAAGGTGTACTTGTAATCTTGAGGGAACTGGTGCTTCCTGACGGATTCGATCCCATATCACCCAACTTCACAACTAGAGACGTTACCACTGATGCATGTGGGTCGTGATATACATACTGTAGGACTGAGATATATTGTTTTCAAAGTGATAACGATAATTGAAATGAGCACTTAAGTATCATTTCCAAGTCTCAAGATTGATTGAGAATTTGGTAGGTTGTTAAGAAAAAAATTAACGATATATTATGTTTCTAGTTTTCTAATACTAATATTATCAAAATACCTGGAAACCACTATATCAAGTGAAAAATAACTTTAAAGAAATGATAACATAAACTGAATACGTCAGAGTAGTAGTTTGTTTTTAAGAAATACAGTAGAATATTTCAAATATTGATGATGATTGGAAATAAGTCGACCCGTTAAGTACTCCTGAATTCTCATTACTTTAACAATATGACTCTATGTCCACCAACCCCGTTAAAGCGTCGGATATTCGCTTTTCATCTGCCCAATTTCGTAAACAATACCCCCGCCGCGAAAAGGCGGTGAGTAGGAATTCCCCGGCAGTGGTTGTATGTACGTGGCCATGTGTGAGCATTTTGAGAGGGACAGTTGACTCCACTCTCGGCCGTAACAGGGCATTTGGGGGTGGATATAGAGGATTCACCTCGGGGAGTTGCAAGGCCCTCATCTCAAACCTATGGTGCACATGAGCTCCAGGACCCTGAGGGAAAAATCGTTGGTCACCGGCTACCATGAGACCGCATCTCCCGACGTTCCTCCACTGCCTCGTGGATAAGACCTTTAGGTCAACGGCTCGGGGTGTGGCCACCTAAGAAAACCACCTGCTTCAGTCTGGGCATCCGGGTAGTATCCTAGCCCCCCCCCCCATAAATCATTCGATTTATGTGGTGCATATGTATTTGGCGCCTTCTTGTACCAATGTTTATGTGTTTAAATAAATAAACAATATGACAAATCTAAACAAACATTATTATGCAATTGAAGTACCTGAGATATTATGAAATCAACAATATTGTCATTTCTATTGAAAATCATTATTTTTAATAATAAATTTTTGATTATCTGAATTAAGAATAATTCGTTCATACTCTTGATGACGTCTATATAAATCTTTATATGCCATACATACTCGTTCATATTCGGCAATGGATACATTTTCTCTATAATGAAAGTAAAATGAACAATTGTTATTTACTACTTGATAAAAGAAAGGGGATGGTTTGTATTCATTAGTCAATTAAAGCTAGACTACCAGGTCTGTTGTGAGATAGTAACTCACTGAAGGTAATGATGGATGGTGGTGTAATTCCATGGATTGGCTGAAGTTAAACATCAACACTGTTGGATGCTAGATCAGTGGTCTAGAGTTTAAGCGTTCACGCACGAGAGCGATAGGTCCTGGGTTTGAATCCTGTGAGCGGGATCGTCCCATACTAGGACGAAACAGCCATCCAGTACTTCCAGGTTTTCCATGGTAGTCTAGCTTTAATTGACCCATGAATTCAACTATTAAATGAAATTAATATTAGTATGTTATTCATAAGTCGCTTATTTCTAAAAGTTTTTGTGTCAACTAATAATCTATTAACGATGAGTGATCATTTTCGACGCTGCGCAGTTATTGTGCCCCCAAATGCCCTGGTACGGCCGAGAGTGGGGAGAGTCCGCTCTCCCTCTCGAAATGCTCTCACATGGCCACGCGTATATAGCCTCTGCCAGGGAAGTCCTATTCGCTGCCTTCTCGTGGCGGGGGTGTTGTTTACGAAAATGAGAGGACGAAAAGCGAATGTCCGGCGCTTTAACCGGATTCCAAACCAATGGTGCACATGGGCTCCAGTATCCTGCGGGAACAAATGGCGTATGAACCAATTGTTGGTCACCGGCTTCCATGGGACTGCATCTCCTTACGATGCTCCACTGCCTTGTGGATCAGACCTTCAGGTCGAAGGCTCGGGGAGTGGCCCCCTAAGAAAACTACCTGCTTCGGTTTGGGCACCCGGGCAGTATCACAGCCCTCACACATATCGAATGAGATTTGTGTGGCGCATATGTATTTGGTGCCTCCTTGTACCAATGTCTATGTGTTGAAATAATAATAAATAATTGTGCTGATAGGCAAACTGCAGCAGAAACCCCAATTTTTGATGTTTAATCGTTATTGTGTTGTAATTAATCTTGGATAATTCACCAGTATATCATTAAAAGAATGAAGTAATTTCTAAAAAAAACCACGTCGAAAAGTCAGTTGATGGATTAAATAGTTGTCATCCTTATGATGGGATTCAGACATACTCTGTCATAGTACAGTGATGATCATCTGATTCCAACTTTGAATACTATTATGACTATAATCAAGTGTGAATTACATTGTCTAAAATCTAATAATACCATCTACTCACAGCCTGTTGACTGAAATCTGATCCAAAAAAGAAGCTTCTGTTTCTGTACTCAGTACCATACTTTTATACAGGTTAGGCTACTATGAAATCTTTAGATATTCGAAGGGAGGATCATATTAACATTATAAGTACGCAATAATTAGACAAGTTTTATGTGCAGGTTTGTAGAAACAGTATGTAACCATGATATTAGAATTATGAGTATCTAGTTACAGAAGTCTATTGAATTAGAGTTTTTAACATATTGCTTTGAGTAGTCTTAGAAGACCAGTAATATTACTCAATAAGCTAAAATAATTAACAATAGATGCATCTGAATAAGAAGATCAATGTGATTAGTAAAGGTGAATAATAGAGATCGGAAACACCTTTTACATTTTGTAGTGAACTTTGAATGATCAAAATGGAAGCTATATGTGTATAAAGGGTTTCAAAGACATTAATTTCGTAGACCAATCTCATCATTGCCAAGTGACCATAAAAATATCAACTGATAATTAATGTTATGAACTTGAGGGCTAGTGGAGCCATCTATAGTGAAAGCTAGAATAGTTTATGCCAATCTGGACCATCCTTGGCTCCTTCTTAATGTTTGTCTGGCTGTAAAAGGTCAGATCTACAACGCGTCGGTAAGAGCTTCTGTTAATCCTTCACGAATTCCTGGTTAGGGTCCTAGAGATGATGTAACACAGTGGCTAGAGACGTTATCAGAGATGGCTCATAATAGAAGCCAATGGCGATTCTGTTGTAATTTTCTTTGACTTTCTTCATAAAAAAATAAGCGTCACTTCTGTAAATGAAACAATTCTGTGTGGTTGTAAATTTGCTAACTGAATTGCCTCTCCCACTATTATTATTTCATTCTCATACACTAATTTCAGTTCGTTGTTGTTCTCCTTTTCCTTATACACACTTTACATTAGCTATCTCTTCATATAATCTTTGTGATTATGTGGTGCATATGTATTTGTTGCTCTTTTGTACCAATATTTATGTGTTTAAATAAACATATAATTAGTTGATATGGTGAAGAAGATTTGTAGCTCAGGTGAATGGTTTCGGTGGAGTTTTGTTCTCTCAGCTGGATAGTTTGATCGTGGAGAATTTTTAAAAGCTTGTCACTCAGGCCAAATGAAGTTCGCGCCAAAATCCGAGGCCTGTTATCTTACATCTGATTGGTTCATTCATAAATTATAGTATCACCAATATATCTATACACTTAAAAAATGAAAAAAATGTTATAGTTATATAATATACCCTAGTGGGTCAGGGTAATTTTACATTGGTTTTCAGAGTAAGCGGACACCATCCAGACTTTCACATGACAACCCAAACATTACAGCTCAATCCTATTTCTCAGGAGAGCCAGACACTATCCAGGCTTAAACTTTATAACCCGAGCAGTATAGCTCGCCACCGTTTTACAGGAGGACTAGACATCATATTGGCCTTAATACTACAATCTGAATAGTACAACTCAATCTTGTGGCGCAACCACACAGGTACCAAGCACCTCGGTGGATCATGATGATAATGTAATATACAATACAAATGAATGTTCATCCTACTGAATAATCGTTCTGGTAGAAAACGTAAATTTAAACAATTTTAAATATAAAACAATCTTACTTTAAATTATTATTCTCTTTACGTAATTTCTCTACTTCATATTCAAAGAAGTTGAGTTTTCGTTTCAATAATACTATTCGTAAGCACAATGCTCGTTTTTTCTAAAGGGAGTTATATAAACCAAATAAAGAATTATTACATATCTTTGAATCATATTTGAAACAAACAAAGATGGATAGTGGCTAGCAGTGGAATCCAGAACGTGCGTTTCTTCCTATTTGAGGCTCGTTAGCTGGATCTCCCTGCATGCCAGAGTTGATGTTCACTCTAGGACTCAAGCCCAGTACAGTTAGTTCCAAGCGCCATCGCGTTATTCACTTAGCTCCTGATAGCCACTTGCTTGCGAGATGGGGTGAAGTTTTAATTCACTTGGTATTGTTTTGCTTAAATCTTCCCATTGGGTTCGAGTCCCAGAGTGATCAGCAACTCTGAGATGCAGGTACATCCAGCTGACGAGTCCCAAATAGGACGAAACGCTCATCCTAGATTTCACTGCTAGCCACTATCCATCTTTGCTTATACTGCTTGTAAATTAAAGGAATGTCGAGACAATATGCACAGTATGCACATATGCCAATAAGAGACTGATCAATTTCAGTCCTAAAACATCAATAGGAAGATTCAAGTTAAATAATACTAGTTGAATCATAATTGAAATGGTTCAATGTATACCTAAATTTATTTTATGGAAAAACTTAGAATCACTGGATAAATGTTTTGTCCCAGTATAAGACTCTTCAGTGGTGTATATCCATGATCTTGCATACGGGATTCAAACTCAAGACATTCGATCTCATGAGAAAATGCTTAATCATTTTAGTGTATAGGAGAACAGGACGATAGCAGGTCTTAAGTTTTGGCACGAAATTGATTCATTGATTTGGCTAGATAGAGTTTTGACATTATAACTGATGTCAGTTCGTGATGAAAACTCTATATCTAGTTCCTAACTCTGACTATCAACTGTGAATAATAATCCTAATTCGTCACACTGGTTCATAACCCTCATTTAACCGTAGTATGTAGGTAGACACTGTCAAGGTCAGTTTAGCAGAGTCACTCAAAGGTCGTCCATAAATTATAGTCTCATCGAAAATAGATCTTAGTTGAATCGAACAGGTTGTATCATTTACATTGAAGATTATAAATAAACCATACACTCATCACTGTAATATTATCATATAGGTTATTAATTAGATCATCTGTTCCATCACATAAAATCTACACTATCTCAACGATTAGCCTTGTTTGAACAGACTATATTATTATTGACAAGTTTGTCTAACAGTAAAAGTGTTTTATCTTGTTTCATTTATCTTTTACTGTGAAATGCCTTGAGACAGAAGGTTAAGAAGACCTAAGAAAAGAGAACAAGAACAGAAAATGATTGTCGTGAAATCGAAGGAACTATGGTGTCTGAGACGATTGATTAACACTTTGCAAATAAAGTATCTACTGTATAGTTTTCAGATTTTACTAAGATGTTCTTTAATTTTGTATTCACATACATTCCATTGTCCCCACTTGTGTTCTCGTCCACTACATTTGCTGTAGCTGCCGATCAGGAGAGTGAGAAGTTTTCTGGTCTGCGCACGCCGTTGCGGACCTAGAGCTAAGGTGCTAGCTGTAGCGGTATGCTGCGGGGAGGTGGAGTCAAGTGACGTGTTATGACGGGGCGGCGTTGGCAGTCGCGGATGCTGCCGACAGAGAAGAGCGGTGGGATGTGTGGCTGCTGGGCGGACATCGGATGTAGATGGCTCAGCAGATAACTGAGCGCAGATGTTAGTGGCCCGGCAGGTCGGTGAAGCTGTGGAGGTCAACGCGCAACAGACTCGACATTTTGACAGAGAGCATGGCAAAGAATTCAGAAAAGTAGAACCACTGCAAGGACGATTGCTTTAAAGGAGGGAGGACGAGTATGGTATGTGCTACTGATGTCGATAGATATAAGTAGTATGTATCATCAATCGAAAGTGAACTGCCTAGCTATTACTCAATAGCAAACTTAATATCAAGAAAGGCAACATATGACAAAGTTTTCATCCCCTTATAATGGAATAATCATGAAGATTGATGACATACACACATTTGTAAAACAAATACCATAGTAACCAATGTTTACAAATATTGGATTTATCTTTCTCTTATTTCTTACCTTACGTGAATCTTCTATAAATTGTTGCATTTTATTTCTTATAGCATTACTTATATCTAAATGCTTTAAAATTCTTTGATTATTATGATCAGTTAATAGAAGGGATTTTTGTTTAGATTCTGTAGCATTTATCTTCTCTATAAGAGAATTTGCATAAATCTATAAGATTCAAAGAGAAAAGAAAAGAAAACGACTTTCCATTATGATCTAATCATTGAATTAGAAGATCTCAATGAAGGAAAACGAAGATAAAAGTTCGTAGAAATAAACTATTTAAATAAAACACTGTTTTTTTTATAAAAAGAAGGGGGATTTTGTGGATATTACGGGTATTTTAGCAGTTGAATTCATAAATCAATTAAAGCTGGATGACTTAACAGTCTTGCGCGCGAGTGCTTAATCACTAGACCACTGAGATGGCCGGCATCCAACGGTGACTCATGAATTCAACTATTAAATTATTATCGGTTTAGGGTTTATGGAAGTTGTTAAGTTTTTGATTGAGATCATGAACTGATTGATGTTAGACCACCATTGAAAACCTGGAAGCACTGGACGGCCCTTCCGTCCTATTGTGGGACTCCTTAGCAGTGCGCACCCATGATCCCGCTCGCGGGATTTGAACCCAGGGCCTTTGGTCTCACGCGCGAACACTTAACCTACTGGACCACTGAGCCGGCATCCAATGGTGTTAATGTCTAACCTCAACCAATCCATGAAGTTGCGTGACCATCTTCCATTATACTGAGACAAACACCTGTTTCTACTCGACACAAAAAACTTCTCTGATTATAATCATCGTATGCTCACTAGTGACGGTCTCCAGGAGGTATTTTCGAGAGTTCTAGTGAGAAGCAGTGACCAGTGGAGTTCGACTGGGTCTGTTGTGAAATAGTAACACACTGATGACAATGGTAGTCGGTGACGCAACTTCTTGGATTGGTTGAAGCTAGACATTAACACCGTCGGATGCCGGCCATCTCAGTGGTCTAGAGGATGAGCATTCGTGAGTGAGACTGATGGGACCTCGGTTTGAATCTCTCGAGGCGTGATCTTGGGTACGTACTGCTGAGGAGCCTCATCGTAGGACGAAACGGCCGTCCAGTGCTCTCAGGTTTTCCATGGTTGTCTAGCTTTAATTTATGAATTCAACTATTAAGACACTATTTATAAGCAAAGATGGATAGTGGTAAGCAGTAAAATCCAGGACGTACATCTCTTTTTACTTAAGACTCGTCAAATAAATGTACCTGCATCTTAGGGTTGATATTCACTCTAGGACTCGAACCCAGAACCGTTCGCTAAACTATTGAGTCCTGATAGACGCTTGCTTGTGCAATGAGATAAAGTTGAAACCTACTTGATATTGTTTACTTGAACCCTCCCATTATTTTCAATCACTGTATAAAGATCCAATGATTAGGATACAAGACACACCTATTATTTAAATCAATAATACAAATTCACTATTCAAATCTTGATTTATGTATAGAATGATAATTAATTATTCATTTTAGTACAAATTAATCACCATAGATAGTAAGGTAAGTAAAAAACAAAATGCATTTGTAACCTGTTAGTGATTGAAAATAATAGACAAACATTTCTAAACCAAACTTATGTACATATCAACAATAAGTAGTAAGATGGGGTTGAATAACATCTATTACAATGATATCTAATGGAACAAACTGAATTCAATAGAATTGAAGACGTGAGGGCGGCCAACGAGTGAATTTGAGGAAGCTCTAAGAAGCTTGAAAAGACCTGAAGATATCCCATCCAATCATTTTTTGGGAGAACATTCTAGAATCTCAGTGTGTAGTTTCCCTATAGGACATGGGCTAAAAAACTACTGTATGTGGATTGGATGATTATAATAATGATTTCGTTTTTACTTGAAAACTATAAATACCTGAGAGTTTTGTACTATACTGGACAATGTTTGGAATAGCATTCCTTCTTGCTCATCTTCTATCTACTCATTTGCGATTTGGAGGGTTCTAGCGTTCAAGTACGCGGTCTATTAAGAATATAACCTCTATATATAACAGAGAGGATAGTCACTTTCCTTACTAATCAATGCAAACATCTATAAAAACAAGGCTCACTTGACTGACCAATCCAATGCAAAAAAAGGCACAATACTCTGATAAATCCATTTTGCTTATCAGTGTGATGATCATTATGCAAATTTATCCATAGAATTCCAAGATAACAGAAAACTAATAGAAAACACAACATTCATTACTTTTCAGTGATCAATCGGTTTCAAATGTGATCGAAGTAGATCACTGGTTGGGTATATGACTATGAATCTACATAACGTAAAAACGTAAATACTCTCAAGCATCAAGATATTCCTTACTACTGAATGAGTAGTCATCCATTTCATATAGGTGCTAATAAGTTTACTAGTGGAGGAACGATGAATTTGTCTAGCCTCAAATGTGTTTCGAAGATACATACATTCCAGTAACATATACATTGACATACATGGGCGCAGTTGTTGATACATGAAGTCATAGAAAGTATAGAGAGGACCATACCTCCCATAATTACATATAGGCATATAAGTTACAACTCGCAAGTATGCGATAGACACACATGTATAGAGTGCATAAGCTAGGCCCATACACTCCATACTATACAAATAAGCATAGATGCGACAACTTAAGGCACCCAAGCCCAGCAGGTTTTTCACTGAATAAATATCGAGTATTCAACTCAGCATGTAAGTCGCCTACAGGACAATTTGCTCGCTTTAAGCTCTTATCACAATCCGGTTTAGTGTCGACCTATATAGGCATATTGAATAAAGTACAAATGTTTACAAAAGTTCGACTTAACATCTATTAAGACATAATTGTTTGTTATTTTCTATAAAAGACAAACTCAAGGATGCGCACTGTTGAGGAGTCCCGCAGTAGGATGAAACGGCAGTCCAGTGCTTTCAGGTTTTCCATGATGGTCTAGCTTCAATTAACTCATGATCTCGACTATTGAAATTAGTACATTCTCCACAAAACCCCTTCTGATACTAATCTTAAAACGTTAAAAGTACAACTATTAAGTAATTGATTTTATAGAGGTAAACGAGTTACTTGATTGTTATAGATCAATTTTATGAAAAATCTATGCATAGAGTTGCAGGTTTACTTTTAGTTCATTTAAAATAGTCTGTTGTAAAAGTAAGTTGATAAAATGAACTTTATATACTTAGTGATTATATGTATATCATTGAAGCGATTAAAGACCTCCACATCCAAGGAGTAGCGCAGAATAAAATAGAAAGCTTTTGTGAAACTAAACGATTTGGACTTCGCTGATGACCTGGTCCTTCTATCTCATACACACGAACATGTGCAAGTCAAAACAACTAATGTAGCAGAAGCCTTCGCATCAGCAGGCCTCAACATACACAAGGGAGATACCAAGATCTTCAAATACAATACGGAAAATACCAAAGCAATCACACTTGATAGAGAAAATCTAAAACAGTTGGAAACATTCACATATCTGGGTAGCATCATGAATGGACTTTGGAGATTTGATGCAGACTTAAAGGTGAGGATTGGCAAAGCGATGACAGCATTTCTACAATTGAAGAACAACCAATATCCGGTTACCATCAGCAACAATCTACTGTGGAGGAGAACAAACCAGCTTAAGAAAAATGAGTGTAATTTAATAGTTGAATTCATGAATCGATCTAAGCTAGACCACCATTGAAAACCTGCAATAAGTGAAAGGCCGTTTTCATCCTAGTATGGGAATCCTCAGCAGTGAGCATCCACTATCCCACACCAAATGGATTCGAACCGAACACATTCGGGCTTGCCAGCGAACGCTCAACCTCTAGACCACAGAGACGATATCCAACGGTGTTAATAACTAACTTCAACTAATTCACAAAATTATACCACCGTCTACAATTATCTTCATTGAATTACTATCCCACAACAGATCTGGTTAAATTCCGCTGGTCACAGCTTCTCACTAGATCTCCAGAAAATACCATTTAAAACCAGTTACTAAAATCTTCACAAACCCCCCTATTCTGATAAAAGTAAATATACAAACCCATATTAATGATCATACCTTAAATGTTTGCATTTGATTTACTTCTAAATTTAAACGTTCCGTAATACTTGTTACTTTATTTTCAAATTCATTTATATGAACCATAAAATGATTACGAAATAGTTTGATTATCTGTTGTATCTTTTCATCATCTTCATCGTCAGAAGCGGCAGCAGCAGCACCTTCTTCTTTTCTTGAAGTTCTAGTAGTATTAGTCGTCAAGGGTTCCAATTGATTAGAATTTGTTAGACGTGAGGATAATAAACTTAATTCATGATTTAATGCTGTAAAATATTACAAAAATGTAAATTGAATTTGTTTTATTGATTGTTTTGTTTTTCTAAGTAGATGTTTCATTTGAAAATCATTAATTGAAAGGTAAACAAGGACTGTAGATGTTTGGTGCCCGCCAAAAAGCATTGATGTTGTGACTACAATTTATGGATGACGTTCGGGTGATGCTAAAGTGACCTTGAGAGTAGACACCCACTGAATACGACTAAATGAGGGTTATAAAGCAGTCAGAATTCTCATTTACAGTTGATGATCAGAGTTAGAAATTACATTTAGGGTTTTCATCATGAACTGATGTCAACTATAATGCTGCAACTCTATTTAGCCAGATGGATGAGTGGATTTCGCGCCAAAATCCGAGACCTGTTATCTTATACCTGATTGGTTCGCCCATAAATTATAATATTGCCGAATGAATTTCTTCTTTGGCCTGTGTATTTAAGTTATATTAAATGCAATCCGATACTTCATTACTTACTTAAGCCTATAACCCCCCCAATCAAGCATAAGCCACAGACCAGCATTTTCCAACCCACTCTGTCCTGGGCCCTCCCTTCTAATTCTATCCAAATTATTGTTCATTCTTCTCATGTATCTCTCCATTTCTCGTAGTAATGTCTTCTTTGGTCTTACATTTCTCTTCTAGACTTGAGGCCTCGCCTTGTGATACAATTCGTTGCTTTCCTCAATTAATAATGTTCGAGTTTTATACATATATCTTTTTTTATCTAAGACCTTACGTGTAACTCATCTGTTTGGTTTCAATCCTTGAAACAACTTTAATAATCTATAAAGATAGGAATATCTCACCCTAAATACCTTTTGTAAACATCACAACTAGTATGTTACACATATTAACAACTGAAAACAACAACGAACACTTTAGTAGTCAAATCTAAGTGATTTCAAGACTGATTTACATTGTGCTTGGTAAGACCAAGATAAATAATGATGATATGTAGAGCATGAAATAATCTTGATAGTCAAGTCTTAATCTTCTAATCGCCTAAGTTTCCAATGATTTCTACTTATGCTTATTTGTCATTCGATTTTTATGTGGGCTGTGATACTGCTCGGTTGCCCAAACCGAAGCAGATGGTTCTCTTAGGGGGCCATGTCCGGATCCTTCAACCTGAAGGTCTAATCCATAAGGCAGTGGGGCAACGTCAGAAGATACATCTCATGGTAGACGATGACCAATAGTTAATTCATATGCCATTTTTTCCTTCAGGATCCTGGAGCCCATACGCACCATTGGTTTAGAATCAGGGTTTTCCAACACTCCTAGGTGGACTCTCAATGTTCACCAGCCCGATTATAGCGACGGATATTCGGTTTTCGTCCTCTCACCTTCGTAAACAACAGCAATGCGGCGACATAACAGCGAGTCGGACTTCCATGAAAGTGGTTGTATATACGTGATCATGTGAAAGCATTTAGAGAGGGATAGATGACTCACCCCACTCTCGGCCGTACCACGGTATTCAGGGGCGAAGCGGTTTGCGTCAGCCGAGAATATCAATAGTTCTTTCTTGTTAACAGTTATCAATCGGTTATATAGTATCTTTGCAATATGATCTAATAGACAACATTCCTTTTAGATCTTACCCATATTACATATTACGTAATGATAAAACAAAGGATATTAAAGGGTAAACAGTACCTTTAGACTTTTTCATTAATTCATTACGCTGATTTTCTATTTCAAATCTTTGAGCTTGTGCTTCATTACGTATATCAAATAATTCAGTACGTATAGAGTTAATTAATTGTTCAATTTGTAATTCAGCTTTAACTTGATTTTTTGTTGATTCTATAGATGTTTGTTGTTGATTCATTAATTCTTTACGTAAATTATTTACTTCTTCAGTTAATATACCTAACTGTAATAATGAAATAAAAAAGCATCAATAACATGTCAGTTGAAGGTAGATCACTATGGAAAATATGGAAGCAGTGGACGACCGTTTCATTCTAGTATGGAACTCCTCAGCAGCACATATCTACGATATCGTCTCGTGTGATTCGAATCGAGGACATACATTCTCGTGCGCGAACGTTTAACATCTAGACCACTAAGCCGGCATTCAATGATGTTAATGTCTAATTTCAACTAATACATGAAATTGTACCACCGTCCACCATTGTCATCAGTAAGTTACTATCTCACAACTGAGCCGGTTGAACTCCAATGGTCATTGCTTCTCACTAGAACTTCAGGATATACATCTTGAAGTCAGTCTCTAGTGAGTATATTTTGATTCATATCAGAAAGGGGTTTTAGTGGATACTATAGTAACTTCAATAGTTATCTGACTTGTAAATTATTTTCATCCTTCTATTACAATTGATTGATCACTGGGTGGTGATCAATGTCATGTGTCAAGCCCTTATTTGGCGCAGATCGAATGCTATCAACCATGTTGCAATGTGGTTGTAAGTAGTCGACAGGAAACCTTGGACCCGGGTTTCGTGTTAATCTCAATATATAGTGCATGCCGTATCAAGTCACCTGGACTGGTGACCACATTGCAAAAGGCCAATAGCATTCAATCTACACTAAATAAGGACTTGACGCACATGACATTGATCGCCACCCAGTGATCAATCAATTGTGATTACATCTCACTCCTTCAGGAGGTCGGTCGCGGCCCGAATAGCTCAATGGTAACGTCTCTGACTGACGGGTGACACGGGATCGGACCCGGCAGGGAGCACTAGTTCCCTCAAGATTACAGGTGCAACTTGCTGACGAGTGCCAAGTAGAACGATACCCGGGTCCGGGGTTTCCTGTCGTCTAACTCCAACCACCATCATCCTTCTATTCTTCTATCCCCCCCCTTAATTATTATGTAACCTCGAATTGATTTATGATGTAATCGATACTATCTTACCATAGACTCATATAATTTCCATACCATTGTATAGTTTAAGTAAATGACTACGTTGAAAAAGAAAAGAGTCCTCTTTGCTGAAGTCTACAACAACAACGACAACAACAAAAACAAAACAAACTAAAGTTTACTTGGGTTTTTTGAGTAGAACATAATGCATCAAGTTCCATATTCTTAACTTTCAATAACTGATCAACATTATTGGATTGAATTTTATCTCTAATAAGAAATAAAAGATAAGTAGGTTAGTGATTAAATGAGAAATAAGCTTAGCAACATAAAAAAGTTAAATAAGAATAACAGTGTGTGTTTCGAATACTTCTTGGTTAATATAAATCTTAAGGTATGTTACTTACATACACTTGTTAGCCCTCATGAAAAAGAATAGGCCACCTATTAGCATTCTCCATCTAAATCTATCCTGGGTTATCTTTTTCATGTCTACTTCCATTTTCCGATGTAGTGTGTTCTTTGGCCTTCGTCATCTCCATTTCCCTTCAGAATTTCAAGTTACTGCTTGCTTAGTGATATAATTGGATGATTTCCGTAATGTATATCCTATCCACTAAGAGTATCTTTACCGAATATCCTCCTTAGCTGGAAGATGGTTTGTCATCTCCTACAGTCGGTTGTTGCTGATAGCACCTGGCCGATAGATATTTAGTATCTTGAGTAGACAACTCTTTATAAATGCTAGTATCTGTTTGGTGAGGTATTTGTCGATTCTCCAAGTTTTAGCTCCCTATAATATCACTAACTGTTTTGACGTTTGTATTGAAGATTGTGACTTTGATGTTGGCCTGCAGACAGTTGTTTTGAGTTAGCAGCATTCTATGTTACTGATTAGTGATTGACATTAGTTTTTACCCAACATATCTCAGCTGAAAATTTTCATATTGCGATCTGATTCTGAGGAACTAAATAATGGTAACTTTGTATTCTCTTAATTCAATTAAACTGAAAGATGCTGAATGTTTCATTATGACCAAATGATTGAATAAAAGCCTGTTAACTATAAGACTGGAACATACGAGTTGTGTTTATAAATAATGAAGAACCTATATACATGTGAACACCATGATCCAATCTGGGAGATATTATTTCCGTAATTGCAGAACATCCTCGTTCTTTATACATGACAACAACCAAAACTTCAAATGACTGGGAATTTCTGAAATGGTTCATAATGAATAAATGATAATACATCAGTAGAATGAATTCCTTCACCGTCCTCAGGACAATTTAGCTCCTCTGGTTAGTATTGAATTTAATCTAACATACAAACTTCGTATATTATTTATGTAATCAAAGAGATATATATAAAGAAGGGGTTTTGTGAGTAGTTTAATGGTTAAGATCATGAATCAATTAAAGCTAAACCACCATTGAAAACCTGGAAGCACTGAGCAGTTGTTTCATCCTATCCCTGGAATTCTAATGAGAACCTGTGACCAATGGAGTTCAACTGCGTCTGTTGTAAGGTACTAAATCACTGATGAAAATGGTGGATATGTCGTTTGATTCCGTGGATTAGTTAAAGTTAGACATTAACACCGTTAGATGCCGGCCATATTAGTGGTCTAAAGGATAAGCGCTCGTGTGCGAGACTGATAGATCCTGGGTTCAAACCTCACGAGGCATGATCGTAGATCCACAGTAATGAGAAGTCACACAATAGGACGAAACGGCCATCCAGTGCTTCCAGGTTTTCCATGGCGGTCTAGCTTCAATTGACTGATGATCTCAACTATTAAAATATATAAAGGAATAAAACTGTTGACGTAAACAATGCAAACGAACATTCAAAAGTTCAAAACTACATATAACTGCCATACTCCTTTGTAACCAAGAACAAAAGAACACGGATAAGATGCAAAATATAAGTGAATTATTATATTTTACACTGAATATACTGTGTTCTTTTAGCGAGTTAGTTTTCTACAGGATGGGGTCGCTAACCCCATGGCCAACCCTACTCTTACACCCGAGCTTGGGACCAACAATAACCCCGAGTGAGCTCCAGGCGGAGCCTATGCTCTATTGGGAATAACAGGCTTAAGTAAGTAAGTAACACTGAATATATTGACAAGATAATATCATAAGTTAACTAACCTTTCTGTAGATAAATTTTCCTTAAAATAACAAAGTTGATTATTAAGTTCTTGACATTTAGCTTGAAGTTGTGCATTCTGCAATAACAATTTCTTATCTTCATTCGTTTTCATTGATGTTAATTGATCAAGTTGAATACTTTGATCATCTTTAATTTTTTTAAGACTAGAAATCTTTGTTTACAAAGTGGAAAAACATAAGAATATTACTTAGACTATGGTATAGGTTATTAGTAAACGAAATATAAGCCTTAATACATTATACAATAATAATACAATAATAATAATAACAGACATTGAATGAACATAGTTACATATTCTAAAAGCCTCATAAAACTACAGGCAAAAATAGATAGTGACTAGTAATGAAATGTAGTTTGACGAGCGTTTCATCCTATTTAAGACTTGTCAGCTGAATGTACCTGTATCTCAGAGTTGATGTTCACTCTGTGATTCAGACCTAGTACCGTTCACTTCAAACGCCATCCATTGAGTCTACTGAGTCCTAATAGTCACTTACTTGTCCAATGGGATAAAGTTTAAATTCACATGGTGCTGTTTACTTGAATGTTCTGATTGTTGTTTAGAATTGTAATTGATCAGTCTCTTATTGGCATATATGTAGAGTGTGTGGACTGCCTTGATATTGTCTCAAGTCACAAGCACAATAAACAAAGATGTTTATTTAAACTAATTATACACTTATCAATATTTGTAATAAATAGTGAATCAAGACATGATTAACATTGTTTATGCAATACAACTAATTCTCATTCAGTTATTCTCTGATGTTCATTCTGAATTGGGTTTTCACTATATGCATTTATCTTACATGTAAGCTTTTAGGATTATTCATCATTTACCCTTACAATTTATCAGTTCTTCTATATTACCTATTATTCTTTACTGTTCTCCATTATTCTTACCTGGGATTTTCAGAACAAACTTTACTGTATTGCGGAGAGTGTTGAAGGCAGTTAGCAAGGTGTGTGGTGAATCTTTCAAGGTCATAATTAATATGGTTGTGGATAGACATCTAAAGTCATGCAAACTACTGGCAGGTGTTATTTTATCAGATACTAACCATCCTCTTCACTCTTATCTTTCTCCTTGTATATCATCTGGTAGAACGAGACGTAATTACATTAAAATCCATGCATGCAAGCAAAAGTATAAAAGTTCTATAATACCTTACCTAGCAAATATACTCTGTGACGAACAGGTTGTTAGAGTTAACCTAGTCAATAACCTGAATTCTCAACATGTCTCTAATTTGAAAAGTTGTACAGATTCAGATCTTGTTTTCACTTTATTCTTTTCCTCTTCTTGTTGTTTTCGTTGTATTTTTGTGTTTTTTATAAAAGAAAATTGTTAAAATAATTCGATCTGAGTATTTTATAATGAAATTTAATAGTTGAGATCATGAGTCCATCGAAATTAAACAAGCTTGGAAAACCTGGAAGTACTGAACGGTCGTTTTGTCTTATAGTGAGACTCCATACGGGTACGTATCCACGACTTCATCTCGCGTGATTCGAACCCAGGAAGTATCACTCTCGCATGCGAATGGTTAATATATAAATCACTGAGCCGGCGCCCAGCAGTGTTAATGTCTAACTTCAACCAATCCAAGAAACTGTGCCACCGTCCATCATTGTTATCACAAAGGACCTGGCTGAACTCTACTGGTCACTGCTTTTTACTAGAACTCCAGGAAATACCTCTTGAAGTCAGTCACTAGTGAGCATATGTTAACTATTATCAGAAAGGGGTTTTTGTGGATATTATAATAATTTCAGTAGTTGAATTCATGAGTCAATTGAAGCTAGATTACCATGGAAGAGCTAGAAGTACTGAATGATCGTTTCATCCTATTGTGGGACTCTTCGGTAGTGAATGTCCACGATCCCACCCACGTGGGATTCGAATCCAAGATCTTTCGCTCTCGAGCGTGAACGTTTGTATTGTACCAAAAATATAATATTGAATAAAGTCATTAACAATACATTTTATTAGATACATATCATTCACCTACTTCAGCTTCATATAATAACTTTAAATTCTTAAATTCTAGACGTTCATCAATTAAAGTTTTATTAAGATTTTGTATTGCTTCAATAAGTAATCTATTTTGATCTTGATAACATTTTAGATCAGATTGTAAAATTAAAATTTGTTCACGATATTTTGATTCTAATTCATTAATTATCTAAAACAAGAAAGAAACAGAAGAAAAATTAAATAAAAACTTGGGTATTTCTTTAAAAATTGAGATCATGAACTGATTGATGTTAGACCACCGTTGAAAACCTGCAAGTATTGGACAGCTGTTTCAACCTAGTGTGGGTCTCTTCAACAGGGTGCATCCACGATACAGCCTCGTGAGATTCGAACACAGCAATTATCAGTGTCGTGTGTGGACACTTAACATCTATACCACTGAGCCGGCCGGCATCCTCTGGTGTTGATGCCTTACTTCAACTAATCCATGAAATTGGGCGACACATTCGTCATTGTCACCAGTGAGTTACTATTTCACAACAGACTCGACTGAACTCCACTAGTCACTGCGTCTCATTAGAACTCCAGGGAATGCTTCTTCAAGCCAGTCACCAGTGAGCATATGCTGATTCACATCAGAAAGCGGTTTTTGTGGAGATTTCAGTAATTACAATAGTTGAGATCATGAGTCGGTTGAAGCTAAATGTTACCACTGATTATATGTTCTTAAAATATATATTATTACATCATATAACATCACATCACACAGCATTTCAAACTGTTATTCTTAAAATTCATTGTTTGAGATAGGCTGAATACACTTTTTAAACACTATCAGAGAATAGGTTAGTTGTTTGTAATTGACTAACTCATACTACTTACCTTAAGTTTCAAAATATTTGCTTTCTCTTCAATTGGAATAGAATCATATTGTTTAGCAGTTGATTTATATTCTTTTAATTCATTTTCATCAATTATTAGTGAGTTGGATTGTTGTTTTTCTTTTAATTTTGATTCCATAACTGATACATTTAAATGTAATTCAAGCTGATTATATGCATTCAAAAGTTATTCAACACATGTATACACATATATACACGAATGTACATATATTATAGTTTGTTCGATGAATGTTTGTTCTTCTATAATGCTAATGAGTAACCATGTCAAAATTCGTGTGTTTTATATAGGTCACCTAGATAGGATAAAAAAATCTTTTTAAACCATAGTATATCGGATTTAGCATTGTTAACAAAACAAAAACACAATTTTTAATTTCAATTGGTATTATTTACTTGAATCTTCCCATTGATGTTTAAAACTGCAGTTGATCAGTCTTATATTGGCATACGTGCATCCTGTGTGTATTGCCTCGATATTGCCTTAATTCACAAACATTCCAAGCAAAGATGAACAGCAATTAGGAGTGGAATCCATGGCTGGCATCTCGTCCTATTTTTGAATCGTCAGCTGGATGTACCTGCATGCCAGAGTTGATGTTCATCCTAGGACTCGAACCCAATACAGTTAGTTTCAAACGCCATCGCTTTATCCACTTAGCTACTGAGTTCTGATTGCCATTTGCTTGCAATAGGGTGAAGTTTTGATTCACTTGGTACTGTTTTTTAGGACTGCAACTGGTCAATCCCTTGTCGGCATACGTGCACATGGCGTTTGAAGAGAACTGTACTGTAGTGAACATTAACTCTGGGATACAGGTATATTCGGCTGACGATTCCCAAGTAGGACGAAACGCGTGTCTCGGATTCCATTGTTAGCCACCATCCGTCTTTATTTATGATTCGTGTTAACTTATTATTATTGTGTTCTTCTAGATGTCCATACTCATTTTAAAATTCATAAACAGCCTTTATACGTTACTTTTAAACAGAAATACCAAGGTTATTTTAAAATAATCCAAATAAAGGGATGTCTAATTCTGAGTTTAAGCAGTCCTCAAAAATAATCCGTATACACTAAGTCAAAAGATATTTTAATGAAACATTGCACTGCAGGTTACCGAAATGGATGTTAATTGAGTTTTATGGTTGCTCAATATAAGCCTGTAAGCCATTAAAAAACGAACGGTAAACAATCGTTCATATAAAAACAAAATCTTTATGAATAATGCCATTTTTTTCTAATATCTTTTACGTTTTTTATTCATTTTAGTTATTGTATTGAGCACTCCAATGGAAATATTCAGCCTAAATTGAGTGATAAATATTTGCCCTTTAATCTCCACCATTCAAACTACACCTGGACACAACAAACGTAAGAGATGTTTAAGACCCAAATTAACAATCAATATATTGGCGAAATAGGTTGGTGAAAGATAATGGAAGCGAACCTTAAAGGTGAAATCAATGGGTCCTAGATCCTAAAAAAGAACATATCAACTGATGATATCATAGACCAGGATAACGTATATATAACATCTGATGATCAGATGAACCTAGCTAAAGAACCGGAGCGATGAGACTAAAACAATAACAACTTGTATGTCTTTCTAGTCAGATACGTTTTGTGAACAATAGTGTTTAACCTGGGAAGTGTATCAAGACAGTTTCAGCTGAGTCAAGGAATTTGATGACAAAAGATCATGCAACATCGAAAGATAAATAAAAATAAAGCATAGAATCACTGGATTCCAAAATGGCAGCAACTGGAGTCTCGTTATAATAGCTAACCATGTATACCGTTAATGATGAGGATCGGGATTTTATTAACAACAGCAAATGTACACGGATAATCCGGAAGGTTTCTAGAATTTGGAGGAATAACGTCTATATATCAGTTTTTGAGACTGTTATGGCATTTACAATGAAACGGCTTATGAACAAAATAGACTCGCAAACACACATGTAAGACAAACTCTCATGTTATAGAAAACAATAAAAGTAAAATAATAGTTTTTAATTCAGAAAGCCATTTTCAGTTTCATACAGCTCAGTAACTCAGAATATATTTATATATTTGATTTCGTGAAACACGTTGGTAATATAGAATGGGGTTGAGATTTAGGGTACGTCAAACCAGTCAGTCAGAATGTAGAACCTGGTACATATGTACATCAGTTCAAGTTGCCACATCTCATCACCATACCAAGATGAAATTGCCAAACTAAATCCCGGAATAGTCAAGGTAGCGCAGTATCAGTAGTAATAGAAAGGATTAAGCATCGCAGATATGACTCGAAAAGAAAATATAAATTTGCGAAATCAAAGCAAAAAGGTATGGAGAATCCATAATCTCAGGATTCGGGAGAAGGCAGAGGAGGAATGCATCTGCGCCATTGCAAATAATTTCAAGCCACGTCACTCAAAGTTTCTAACCATTGGTTGCGATAATCACGGGGACTACAACCAGATAATCTGTACCTATTAACATGGCTTAGCCCAACCGCCAGAGAATCTATGGACTTGGAAATACCACAAGTATCCAGTGTTTGACAACGCTTTAACCAGTGACACCTTCTAATACAACCCATACACGCCAAGAAAAATCAAAAGACAGAATCGAGGAGATTGGAAGATATATTTGATGACCATCAATATATCTTCCAATCTCCTCGATACCATGTTTTGGTTTTGCCACACCTAGATCCACTCCGGTCTGTTCTTGTATAAGGGAATATCGCCCGTCAGGGTAGGCGGTGACTGAAAATATACGGCTTTAGTACACGACGTATGTAACCCTTGGTCTGAGAAATATTGTTAGATGAAGATTATCTCGTTGTGGTTCTCGAGATTTCGGTAGTAAATGTTAAGGAACGTTGGTCGTATTGCCCGAAAATTATTGCATTGGGAAAACTGAGATTAATTTTAACTTCCCTTTAGATTGTGAGTGGAACTTATCTTGGAAATTTTATCTCGTTCTGTTGACATGTTGTTGGACATTGAAATGATGTAATTATGTGCCAGGTATTTTACTGCATGCGATAGGTTAACTGGTTCGGTTCCAAAAATGAAACAGATTATGTGGAGCCAAAACCGAGGACCCAATTGTTACAAGCCTAAAACTACCACCTTAAGTCAGAGTTTGACTTGTATAAATAAATACCCGCCCCACATATTTTGAGGTAAGAATTATCAATTTCGAAGCTGCAATAGAACATTCTGGGGAAATGCGACAAAACCACGAACACTTCCCCGTATTTTTATTAAAAACCTCAAATTATTTTTGACAAATCCCCCCACTGTAAATTTACAAACATGATCTTAGCTCGGAGAACCAACAAGATCACTTATATATTGTGCAGTAGGCAATAGTGTTGTGAAGAAAGACAGGATAAGAACGTCAAAAACTTACGTGTAGATCTTTGAATGAAGTTAATAATGTTTTATAAAACCAATTAAGTTTGAGAGATTATTTAAATTTCTCGAAGAACATTAAGTCGAAGTGTGTGGAAAGGACGTCCTCAGAAATGCGTGTCTTCTTCCTAGAACGTTTGTAGCTGTATGACTCAGACGATTAAAATCATAAATTTCCAAACTGTAGATGGGTTGCTTTTAAAACATGCACGTTTATGGTTTACTAAAATACGACCTACAGTTACTTGATATAAACTCAGCAGGAGATCGTCGTTCAATCCAATAAAGAATACTCAATACTTTCATGAAGAGCTCATATAAGTTGTTTGGTGTCATTATGATGGCTTCTTCTTGTTATGCAGATATATTTACCATCGTTTTCACGAGCCGCTTTTTTGTTGTTTCGGTACGAATCCGTTTAATGGGTATAGTCCTACGGGTGACAGTCTAGCCATATAATTACACTAATCAAGGTCAGTTTGGTAGTTATTTTTACGCTTTCATATCTTTTAATTTGAATGAGTGAGATGAAAATTCATCAGTAACCTTTTTTCAAGTCATCTCGGCCGGTGGCTCTTCTGTCATTACCTTCAAAACTCATGGAGTCCCTGATATGCGACGGTTTAAATGACTATCTACTGTCCTTAAATTTCTTCTCACCCCAACAGCATGGTTTCAGGAAGGGTTACTCTTGTATAACCAACCTGCTGACTGCAGTGGACAGATGGACAAGCATCCTCGATTGCAAGGGAAAGGTTGATGTCATTTACCTTGATTTCTCAAAAGCTTTTGATAAGGTTAACCACTTGTGTCTTATCAATAAGCTCAAACGACTAGGTATCAAACCACCTCTAATCGACTGGCTTACTTCATACCTAAAAAATCGACACTTTAAGGTTAGGGTTCATTTCACTTTATCTCAAGCTATGGAACGTCCTAGTGGGGTCCCCCAGGGCTCAGTACTAGGGCCTCTTCTCTTCTTGATCTACATAAATGATATTCCTCAACAGGTAACGTCAGACTTATTACTTTTTGCCGACGACGTGAAACTTTGGAGAGAGAGACACGCAACCAATACTATATACAGGCACTTCAGGAGGATCTGACTCGACTTCAAAGTTGGGCAGACGATAACGGACTTACTTTTAACACTTCAAAGTGTAAAGTAGTCCATCTGCGACATGTCGCAAACTACAGTTACAACTTAGGAAACTCCTCTCTAGTAGTATCCCAAGTCGAAAAAGATTTAGGAGTCCTGGTGCCCCATGATTTAAAGTCTTACACTAACTGTGACAAAAGTGCCTTCCGAGCAAACCTTGCACTGGTAACGTTGAAGCGCATTTTTGGCCAGTTTGACGGACGAACTTTCCATACAATCTTCAATAGTTTCATCCGTCCCCATTTAGAGTACGGAAACATAGTACTCCCCCCTCACTCCAAAAGGACAAGGTCACTTTGGAGCGTATCCAACGGCGAGCCACGAAATCAGTTCGAGGACTCAAATCTAAGCCTTACGAAGAACGCCTCCGTTCACTAGACCTTTACCCACTAGAATATAGGCGTCTTAGAGGTGATTTATTAATGGCTTATAGTATTCTTAACACTTCTGGACATCCTCTTAAACACCTACTTAAGCTTAGTTCGAATAATAACCTAAGGGGTAACACCCAGAAACTGGAAACACAACATAGCAAGACGGAATGTAGACACAACTTCTACTCCCTAAGAGTTGTCAAAAGCTGGAATTCGCTGCCGGCCGAGCTAGTCCAAGCGACTTCTCAGGAGTCCTTCAAGAGGCAACTTGACCTATTCTTAAGGACCAAGGACAGCATCACACTATGATTTACCAATTTCTTTTCCTCTTTTATTGTTAATATACCTAGGTTCCTGCCTGGAGGATTTGGTGATCCCCTGCTACTAGACACGGAAGCCTGTTAAGCGAAAGCTTCTTCTATTCCGTCCACAACCATTTGAACCATTTGAACCATTTGAAGCTATCCGCTGAGTAGTCTGTGGTCACAACGAACAAAGCAGATACGGGAATTCTTAAGGAGAAAAATTAGTTGTGTATATGGGCTATCGCCTTTGAACATGGAATATTTCAAGGGCTTCCTCAAGGGGAATGATGACGATGTCCCTGTGGGATGTACGTGTTGAGGTGACTTAGCGTACTAAGTATGTCGTGTTCCATTTTCAAGCCAGTCCTTCGTCTCTGTAGCCCAAAGGAAATAGTCACCGGTGCCGGAGTCTGTCTTCATAAGCTTTGTTTCACCGCCCATTTAGTCTCTTGTCTCTGTGCTTGATCAAACAGAATTTTATTTCATTTAAGTGGTTGAGACGCCACAACATTGTCGACTTCGAGATAAATCCATGAGAACAGTGATAAAAGCAAACCCTAACCAATTTGTTCTGGATGGAACGTTGATTCGCACTTATTTTATTTGCTAGCCTCTGAGTTCTATGGGACTGACTGTCCTACATCACAATTTGCGGGGGAGAATTGGAGACAGATTATAATGCTGCTTGTTAGTCATGTGGCTGAAACCTTATAGCATAGTGTTTTGACAGGTTAAACTATCCGTTGTCCAAACCTTTACCGTTGCGATGCAATTTCAGAGCACAGGCTGTCTTTGGTCCTTGTTCCTTCTAATGTTACGAATCCAGTATGCGACTGAAAAGGCCACATACTTGAGTAAAGATGGCTTTCATGCTCCCATCACAGGTCAGATACTGTTGCATCATGGCGGATTTTCAAGACTCAGGGATTTCGGATTTCTCAGAACTCGAAACAGGAATCATTGTAGTATCCAAACTACGGTTTGGACTGAAGAATAGCCGTTCAGGTAGGTTAGACACGCGCACTTGCCCGTCAAAATCAGAACAAGTAACTGGGTAAATGACCGTTCTAAACAAATATTACCACCTGGCTATTCCACCACTAATTGTTCAATCAATCAAATCAGTCACAACAAATGAACGCTATTCTATCCTGAATGGATAGAACACACACAAAAGAAGGAGCAAATCAATATGGCTGCCGCCAAGAACAAGTATCAAGTAAAACAACATTGATGTAGTTCGGGAAGAAACACAAAAACTTAGTGAAGGCGTAAGAAAAATAAAAACTATAATAAAAATACAAATATTAACAATTCGAATGTAATCAAAAAACTAACAGTGTACAACTGAAGGAATCAATAGGAACAAAGTGCAAGTGTATACATGGAGGGATCTTCACACACACCAAACATTCAAAACGGATCTTACAATTATATGTATAGTTCTCAGCTCATCAGCGGTCAGTTTGCAGACTTTCTTTTGTTGAAGAAGTTATCGAGATATTTTCAATGAGCTTGAACATAAGCTTATGGATAGTTCTGAAAAAATTCATTGCTTTACACTTTTATGTAACATCTGTTACTGAATCCCGGGTAAGTGCTACTGTCAGAATTTCCTAGATGAAATTCTCATTAGCGACAGGCTCTCGGTTCTTCCTACAGCAACCGATCTGAGACTCGCTTTCCGTAAGTTTTTAGGCTGCACGTACGCTGTGTAAGATAGCTAGCTGAATAGTGTTTCTCCATGCCTCTCAGTGGTCATCCGTTGTCAGGTTTCGTCACTTATGAAGCCATAGGAGTTAAATATGAGTAACCATGGTCATTACTGCTTTCTGATGCGTGAACGTGGACACGTTCGACTAAATCAATTGTCGGTAGACAGTTTAGGTTGAGGGTAATCCGCCATTTGCCATCTCGTATAGTTGCCTATATGCTCAGTGAGGCCAAGTCTTTTGATGATTTTGATGAGTTGCTTTTGAAACTATCCTGAACTTATCACATCGTCCACACGAATTTTAAGCATCTGACTAACCACCATGTGTGTAGTATTTAAACTGCTTAGTGTGTCTTTTTCTTTCGCGGTATTCTGTGTGAGTGGACAGCTCATTCTTTCAATGAAGTTCGTAATTACGTGTGCGCTGGAATGAGACTCGCATAACCCTGGCAACTCCGCCAATTGCTTTTCCGTCGAATTCTTAGCTTTGAAGTAGACGTTAATCTATATCTCTACTCCGCCTATTCTTTTTTGCTTCCTGCCGCGTCCGAATGGAGTCGTGCCTCGCTTGTTTAACTGATATACGCTACAATACAGAGGAAATCAGCTGTTTGACGTCTTATGCGTTGCTTCTATTTGGAAGTCTCTATTTACGAGGTTGTGGAATAGATCGTGTTGTAAATCGATTTGACTAGTGCTTTTTGATGTAAATTTACAAGCAACCAGAGCAGACAAATGTTGTCGCGTTATGATCATACAGGGGTGTAAACAGGAAACAGTCCAATGAGCTTGTAGAATTATGGTTTACTATGATATTAGTACTGCTCTAATAATAGACCTAATCCTAAATTTGTAGATTTGTCATGATATAACTGCCTAATCTATAAGATCTTACGTGGAAGTCACACCATCGACTACACCAACTCACTGTACCGTATCAATTACCAATATATGATGTAGAACAAGGTTAGGCTAGAGAAAGAACAACATATTTAATATGAATAGAAGATATAAGGTAACATTCGGCAGAGACCACGCCTGCATGGCCGAGCCATGCCACTCGATCAACTCCAGTCCATTCAACTCATTCTTCGCGCCTTCTCCATCGTTAGGTATTTATCCGCGTTAAATATTGAATATCTATTTTCTGAGTAGTCTCGTGTTCAGCTTTGTGGATTGTGCGGTTATTGTTCAATGCCACTACACTACTCTCCCACCAGAATCAACGTGATGTTGGTTCGATACCAAATTGGATGGGATCGTCGTGCGCCGAAGGTTACCAAGACTAGGAAGAATCCCCCGGGTAATGATAAGCTGAAAGATAAATCAAAATGAAGGCGGCAGCATCTGGTCGGGAAATACATGTAATAATTTTTTAAAAAATCTGCCTTCATGCTTAACATGCTTGAAATGAAAATTTGGGTGAAGATTATTTGAGCTATAAAAAATGAGATTACAGTAATAATAATAAAACAATGCGTGTTAATAGCCGTTGGTTAATAACTTAACGTATAGGTAGTAAATATTTTGTGTTTAGAAATCTTAAAGTAATGAATATTGTAGAAATGTTAATATTGGTATTAGTTTTGGTTTAAATTATGAAACCAATTAACAATTATGCTGGTAACCCGTCCATATGTGATTTCCAATTGCATCTGTATTAGTAGGCTAACTGAAAGAACAAAAGTATTACCATGGAAAAGAATTCCAACTAGTGTTCCAGTTAGTTTGATACGGTTTATTTAGTTACGGGG